CTTTAAGGCCTCAATTTGGGCCAAAGCAGACTCAAGCTTCGCCGCCTCTTCAACTTTCTGGGCCTTGGCTTCTTCGGCCTTGGCTTTAGCAGCTTTCACCTCCTCTACAAGGGAGGTAGCCTTTCCCTCCGAGGCCTGGGCCCTTGTCTGGAATTCGCTCAAGGCCTCCCTGCATTCGAGCGTGAGGCCAAAGGTCCGGGCGCTCTGGCTCACCAGTGCCCTTGTCAAGTAGATGGCATCACAAGACGAGGCATGCAGCTGCCACCTCTCTGTCCAGAACTTGTAAAAGCTCTCGGTGGCACTTCTAATTTCTTCAGGGAGAGCCTCCACCAAGGCTGGGGCCAGCTCCTCCTCCCTCCCAGCTAGGAAGTTCGCAGATTTCCCCTTCTCCCGAACCGGCTTTTCCTTTGCTGCCTCCTCCACGGCAGCTTCTGCAGCTCGCCTTGCGGCCTCTGCTCTAGCCTCTTCAGCCTCTACCTCTCTTACCATCTCCATTTTGATGGCTTTGGAGGCTGCAGCAAGAAGTTCCGGCTCGCCAGTCTGTTCGGCCCTATGTGCACCAGTTTCCTCTTCTTAGTCTCCTCAGGGACTTTCTCCTTGCCCCAAGGCTCCTTCGGCTTCTCTGGCCTCTGAGGAGCTGCCTCCTCCGAAGCCCTGGGAGTACAGTCCTTGGACAGGCGCTCAACCCTGCCTCGGACTTCCTTTGCCCCGTCGGACCCAGGCTTCAGGGGCCTCGCCTTCGCAGTAGACGTGGCCTTCAAGATAAAGGCCATGTCCGGAGCTGGGTATTCCCTCTTCTTGAATTTATCTGCACAATAGGTCAGATCAGTATCAGTATAAAAAACAATATGGATAAAAACAAGGGATTAAGTGTTGGGGCTTCGTACCTCTGGATGCCATCAGTTCGAAGTCCAGAAAGTATCTGCTCCTATCAATTAGGTGATCGAAGTGGCGAAGCTTCAGAGGCCTCTTGTAGATGTCCTCTATCACCGCGAATCCCTCCCTGCTAAGCTAGAACCTCGTACTACTATCTGCAAAGGAACCCCCAACAGTTAGACGAATTCATATTCTGACTTCAAAAGACAAGCAGAGGTCGGGAGACTCACGAGCTTCGTAGTACTGGGTCGGCACTGTGCATGACAGGAATTTTTCCCCCTCTACTGCCTACCATTTACCTTGCACTCAGAACCAGGACTCCTTCCACCCCTTGATAGAGGAAGGAAGTCCCACCACAAAGGGTGCGTGAGCCCCCCAAGGCGTGAGGTAGTACCACCCCCTTGACTCCTTCCCAATTACTCGGGGCTGGAACAGGGTCATGAACACATGAAGAGGCATGTCCTCCCCAAGTGACACTTCCTTCCACAGGAAGTACGAGCCGACCAGCTGGCTCTACCCATTCGGTAGAACCTAGGTCGGCGACAGCATGAATTTCCTAAGCACCGCCCTAAAAAAGGGGTGTAGAGGAAGACGCATACCTGCCTTGAACAGGTATTCACTCACGACCACGCAGCCGGGCCTTGGATAGCAGGCCCGCTCGTTCGGCTCGGGGACTAACATTTCTATGTAGTGGGGTACACTGTACCTCTCCCTAAGTTCTCCCAACCTCTTCCCCGTCATATTCGAGGGCACTCTAGAAGCCCCCCACTCCTGGATATAATCTACAGACTCCTCAGCCATGGCATACCTATCTACCTCGGACATCCCCCGTGACCGACCCCATAGTCTAAAGACGCCACTGTAACAAGCTCCCTACCCGAAGTGGACTCCATTTTCTCAGTAAAAAGATAGTAACAAGGGTTTTTGTGCAAACAATACCTAAGGGAATTCAAATGGCCGAAATTTAATATCACAGTCAACCTCGACGCTGGAAAATTTGGAGATTTTGAGAGAGTTTCAGAGTGCAAAGTGTTCAAAAATCCTGAAAATTGGGATTTTCTAGCCTTTTATAAAGGTCCAAGACGAACCCCAGTCGTCAGATCAAATCTCAGTCAATCCGAACCCTCCATTTCAGATCCAATCCGAGGTGTTGAATTCAAACGATTTTTAAATCATACGCTTTAGATTTATGCATGCCTCCCACGCACCTCTCCAACGCGTCTGCTTCTAGAAGCGCCAGCTGTCCTCATAATTGCATTTTTAATTCGACGGCAGCAGCACCTTGGAAGTCATAACGGTTCAGCCACTTTTCCTCGAAAACAAGCACAAAACATCAAATCATTGGCACCGCAGCCAATGCACAATCATTACCATTGGACCTCGGCTTCCTCTCCGCCATTCAGCAATCAAAGCCTCGCGGGTTTGGTTCCTCAACCACCTCAGCTTTCTCTTCGCCATTCAGCAATCAAGCCTCGCAGGTTCGGCTCCTCAACCACCTCGACTTTCTCTTCGCCGTTCAGCAATCAAAGCCTCGCGGGTTCGGTTCCTCAACCACCTCGGCTTCCTCTTCGCCACCCAGCAATCAAGCCTCGCAAGTTCGGCTCCTCAACCACCTCGACTTCCTCTTCGCAACTCAGTATCAAAGCCTCGCAGTTTCGGCTACTCAACCACCTCGGCTCATCTTCAGAGTTCAAACACCTCGCCTACTTCGTCGCTCACCCACAGCAACACTTCTCAAACTCCAACCATTATATAAATATCTATACTTGGACTTGGGGGACTATTATTTGGGGTTCAAAAATTCTTTCAACCATTACTCCATTAAAGTCCACGCACTACATTAATGATTATACTTGGACTTGGGGGATTATTGTTGCGTGTTGTCACACCTGTCCTACCCACCTGGGCCAATGGCCCACTCATCCTGATCCACGTGGCATTCCTGCCGAGGTGGCACACATTGTTGAGATGGGTTATATCCGAAGTCCTTCAAGCCGAGGTCCATCCGTCGAGGCTCCTCGATTCGACGCAAGCGTGTCTGCCGAAGTCCAACTACCGAGGCCCACGATTCGAAGCACGGAACCTGTTGAATGTAGCTGAGGTCCTCAAGTGGAAGTATTTGTCAAATGGTCGAAACCCCGAAGCTGATGCACGAGCCTCTTAACCACAAGGAGCTTCCTCCACAGTCACTTCTCCCAAGAGATCGCCTGCTCAGAGATCTTATTCGAATGACTGATGGAACGTTTGTCACAAGCATAAAGGTCAAGTCTTGTCACTAGTATGGAGAACCTACGCAAGCAATAAATGCGCCGCAAGCTAGCAAGTCAAGCCCCATACCTAAGAAAAGACGTTTGAACTAAAGAGATGAGGCCACGTGCCACTTCATCCAAGGGCTCCCATTTCATATGTATCACTATAAATACTTCCATTGTGTAATGTCAAAGGCTAATGCAAGAATCAATACTAAAGACTACTTTTACTCAACTCTCTCATTTTACTTGCAATACACAAATCAAGTTTCAACACTTTTACACATATATTTACGAGCACCGATTGGTAATTAGTGTACAATCGGATTACGAACAACCCGTCGGATTCCGAACGTCACC